CAGAAGAGAACATTAAAAGGGAGGAAGAGAGGAGGAGGAATGAAGAGGAAGCAGAGAGAGTTAGGAGGGAAGAAGAAGAGTGTGAGGAAAAAAGAAGACTAGAGGAACAGGAAAGGAGGAGAATTGAGAAAGTCCAAAGGGAGGAAAGGATTAGGGAAGAGGAGAGGGCTAGGAAGGAAAAGGAAGAATATGAAACAGTGGTGGAGGAAAAGAGACCAGAGGAACAAGAGATGATAAAAATGGAGGAAGAGAGAATTAGGAAGAATGAGCAGGAAAGGGTTAGGATGGAGGAAGAAAGAAGACAAGAGGAAGAAGAGAGGGCTAGGAAGGAAATGGAAAACAAGAGATTAGCAGAGGAGCAAGAAAGGAAGAGGGTTGAGGAAGAAGAGAAAATTAGAAAAGAGGAAAGGATTAAGAGGGAGGAGAAAGCTGAAAGGGAGAGGAAGGAAGAGGAGGCCAGGAAGCTGGAGAAGGAAATGTTGACAGGAGATGCAGAAGAACAGAAGAAGAGAGAAAATGGAAGAAAAGATGTACGCAAAGTTGGAGAGAATAAATCTAAAGTGGCTGTGGAGAGCCCTACAGAAGTCACCTTCACTAATCCCTTTGAAAACTTTTCATATAATCCCTTTGAGGAGAATCCTAATCCTGGACCCGACAGCAGCACAGCCAAAATGTCAAATGACCAACAAAGGTTAGTTCAAGACATTGCACGCTGCATAAATCCTAAACAACCTGAAATGTAAGAAACAAATTCATGATCTGATAGCATTATTTTTACAAGAATGATTTCCGTTAATAACAGATGTATAATAAACACTAACTCACCTTTCAACGAACTCTCAGCCTATCAGCAGGTAAAATTTAAATGATCACAAATGTAAGACTTCCTTTTTTTGGAGAATGTTTTTAAAAAATATCCAAACTTGGAGTCGGCAGCCATGCTAGTGGCCTTGAGGTCATTATTATGCATAATGCAGTGCTAGCATGCTCACAATGAATTTGCTGATGTTTGGCAGGTGAAATATTTCCCAGCTCATAGTTTACATATAAATTGACCATAATGCAGTGGGTTTGCATGCTAACTTGTGCTAATTAGCACTAAACACAAAGTATAGCAGAGGGGGTAAGTAGTTAGTTTTGCAGGTATTTCTTCATAAACCAAAGTACTGCACAATTAAAAATTTTGAACTGATGATGGTGCCATGGTGTCCTGAGGTGGACATAACTGTACAAAATTTTATGGGTTTCCATTTTTTTGAGACATTTCACTCAAAGCTGCAAATGTCAGCCTCATGATTGTGCTAGAAGGTAAAAAAATCAGGGGATCTTCAGTCATTACGATTCATGGGCACCATGAATGTCAGTAACTACATTTGATAATTGTCAAGTTATTTCAGGCAGTATGAAGTAGCTGCCTACACCTTGTTCTCTGTGCATTCTTAAAATCAGAAAGGAAAAAAAAAGAACTCACTCTGGAATTACACACAATTGAAGCCTGTGGGGGAGTACAACTGTGTGAAACTGAAGTTTATGCTGAAGTGTTGAACCAAATGTTGCTATTGATAACAGGATGAGGAGCAGAGCGCCAAATGAGTGAAACTAAATTTGAATGCCTGATGAAAATGATATGTACATATACAGAAAGTGTAATCTAATTGTTGCTTTATCTACTGTTTAGTCACTGATTCCAATGCAACATACAACCTAAACCTGGCACGATCATAAAAAAATGACAGAGCTTTGTGCTTGTACACCTTCTATAGTGCTGGTATGAGCATGCAGACACAAGGGTGTGTTTCTTTATCAGCTGGGATTGGGAATTTGTTGCACAGTCTTACCTCATTATATTGAGTTGTGAACAGAAAATGACTTGGTAATCATGGAGTTTGACAGGTGATGGTTTCACAGAGATCTCTGGGTGAGATTTACTTGCCATTTTAAAATATTTTCTTCTTTTACTACATTAGTACATCATTTTACCACATTTCGCTTTTGCACTGCTTTTTCAAATGAGGATACTTGACTTCTTTTCTGTGACACTTTGTTCTCAAATTTTGCGATGCAAGGCCTTACACAAAATTGCAATATAATTTGATCTTAAGTCACCAAGGATGCTGAAATGGTTTTAGATGATTAACCAAGATCAGCGATGCACCTCTTTTTATATTTGAATTTATTTTCTTGCATCTTTAGAGTACTTTGTGAGCCATCATGCAGTCTGTCTCACTTCCAGATGTCAATCTTCTGTGTCATGGAGGGGAAGCAAGAGCATATCCACTGATGAAAAGAACCTGATTAGGGCTCAACGGGAGAAGCGACCGGCTCCTCAGCCTCCAGGAAGCAGTCAAACTGAGAGACTGACTCAGAGGGAGCAAGCGATATCTACACAACATCTGGCACAAATTGGCATGGAGACTAATGACACAGATGTCAAAACCTCCAGCATTCTTCCTCAGCATACGGTGCAAATGATCACTCCTCTCAGTAAGTCTCCCACAGATACAACAAGCACCCAGAGCGTGATGCAAAGTAGTAACACCGAAGGAACAACAAGTGTGGCCAAACTTAAACGTCCTGCGCCGTCTATACCTCGTTGTGTGGAAGAGGAGCTGTCGTCCAAATCCAAAGCACCCTTGTCTACTGGTGGCAACATTTCTACTGGAGGTGGCTCAGAGATAAAACAAGTCCAGATTGTTTATGGCTTAAATCCATTTGAAGATGATGATGAAAATGAGCTCACAGCACGAGATGACACAACAACTTCTGTTAAGACTGGTTCAGTACTTTGGCCTCCAGCTGTGTCACAAGCTGTTGATAAAGATGTCGCCTCTCAAGTAAAAATCAAATCCTCAAAGATGGCCCATGCTCCTCCAGCTCCGGCAAAGAAAGCTGCCACACTGGGCACTTCAATCCACCAAAACACTGGTGGAGAGCATGATACTGGTGTAAATGTGCCTGATAAGAGTGCAACCCATGCACGTGACTCAGAGATGATGATCTCTGTGCATGTCCAAGAGAATCCACTGCAAGAGTCCCAGCCTGTGACTGTGCAGAGTATCATGGAGGCACCAGGTGTGAAGAAGGAAGTGCCTACTACAGCTTCACGCAGGTGAGACTGTGTAGCTCCTTTAAAAAAAAAAAGACAAAAGCTTTGTTATGTAACTCATCTATTTCTTAAATTATAGATCACACAGCTACTAGTATGGTGCCCTTGTGTCTTTTATAAGATTCATCATACTGATCATTTCAGTGTTCTATGATTCATCCTCATTTATTTTTCATCACCTTTGTTATTAATGTTAATACAAACCATATTCTGTTTGACTAGTGGCTGCTAAATAGGATGCTCTTACAGATCTATTCTTATAGAAAAATGATACATCAGACAAAGATCCATGTGAAACAGTCATGTTTACACACCAATATATTGCATTTTCTTCCACTTCCATTCAGCTGCAGCTTTCATCTTTTTGTTGCAGGCTTCAACCTGTAAAACCTCTTAATCCTCTGCAACAGCAATCTGTCTCAGTAGCTCAAGGCAGAAAAGATAAGAAATCCACAGGAATCCTTTGTGATTTGAAGGAGAAACCAAAGGTATATCTGTCAAAAATGTTGCTTAAAATATTTTATCACAGTTATCAAAATAAAATACTAAGGAAAGTTTGTTTATAGGTAAATGTTTGTATGTTAGTTCATCATATAACATCAACATTTGCATCATATGCGTTTAATATACACGTACAAACACTTTGTTGCTTTGTCCTCTTACAGGTAAAAGACACTGGACCC